CGATAGCATGCTTGTGTGTTACTGCTGCAAGGCCGGCGCATGAAAGCCATGCGCAAGAAGGCCGTGTTCGGTGTTGCCGCTCTTCACGGGGTTGGGGCGGCGTGGAGGGAAAATTTGAGATATTCCTCCACTCCGCTGTTTCCTCCCCAATGCCCTGTGCCGTAGTTGTGCACCCGCCACCCCACTCCCACCACGGACGGCGTCTGTTTGTCGTATGAATGCGTGCTTCGTGCTTTGGATCTTATCGGATGGGTCGAGCAAGGAGGCTCGATACTCTGCGGTATGGCGTTTTACGGGAGTACCTCACCCAAATGCCCCTTCGGGCGAACCTGCACCTAAACTGGACCGTTTCCGCTTCAGGATAGGTCCCACAATAGCCTTACAACACGCCAACACCCTCATCTATGTCCTATGGCTAACCTGCGAGATGCGACAGGTGGGCTACGCAAGAGCTTGGGTATATTCGCCACCGGCGGGGAAACACGAAAATACCCCGCCGGTGGGGTAAAATGCGGAGGGCTGTAACCTTGAATGTATGCACAAGGTTGAGAACAAACAAAGGGACGCCTGCAGGATTGCAATGCATGCACGAAGGAGAAAGAGAGAAGCCGGTCATGGGCAAAATATGCCCAGTACATACGGCGCATGCACGGATGGACATACATATATTGTACGGCTGTACACAGCAGTAAGTTGCAACAGCTACACATGCCACCTGCTTGAGCCCAGATTTGTGGGCCCTAAGTCTACTGGCACATATGGATAGATTATTCAGAGCGGAACAAACAAGAGTCGACATAATGACACGAACTCTCTCTCTCTCTCTCTCACCCAGTAAACCCAGAAGCACCCACAACAAGGATATCCATGTCGCGACTAGCCATCCCCGCGTTTGGCTGTGTAAGTTTTTATTGCAAAGGACGACAGACAGAGCGGCTGGGAGAGAGGCACATGTGGGAGGTTCTCAGAAAGGAACAAGAAACAGGAATGGTAGGTATGTGAGTGTCGGTGTGCATCTGTGTATCCCCTCTATGCCCAACACGTGCGCCTATGGTCTATGACGTATATATGTCTACTCTCCGGAGAGTAGACATATATACGTCATAGACCATAGCGTTGCGCAGGTCAAACCCCTACCCTCACAGAGCACCGGACCTCTAATAGAGGGTGGTGTACGACATGTCACTACAAGCTTGCGAAGGAGAGGCCCGGCGTGAGTAGCTTCGGAAGAAGCGGCAGGCTTGCGTATGCCACCTTGAGACTTCAGCTTTCCGCACCGGCAAGTTACAGCAGCAGCAGCAGAAGCAGCAGCAGCAGCAGCGGAAGCACTCGTATTCCGTTACATGTGATCAGCATCTGCCCCACGATCCTACCCTACCCAGGTAGATACCCGATCACAACGCGCCGGCGCGTGCTGTGCGGTGTGTGCGGTTTGTGGCGCTCATAATCGCGAAGAAACACCAGCTGCACTGGTGGAGAATTACAGAGCCAGCTGCTCATTACAGAACGCAAGGGTTTGAACTCAAAGACACCGCAGGGAGGTGCGAATCTCCAACGCTGTATCCACAGGCGTTCCACTCAGGCAACGGTCACAGATACGGGGCGGTGTTTACGATCACCGGACAGACTGTGATTCTCAGTAAAGAGACAGAATTTCGAGATGAGATTGGGACAGAAGTGAAGAGTGAGAGGTGTGCGAGGGCACGCCCTCGCATGCCTCTCGGACAAAAGTCACGGTCAACGATCCGAGGAAGCCTCGTGGAAGACGGCTTCAGGTCCCTCGTAACGTTGCACGCCTCCTCGTGTCTCGGGGCGTTGGCGACCTCGACATCGCCCCGAGAGACGATCTCTCCGAGGAGAACGAAGGTCGTAGGATAGACTATGTGGTGAAACACGTAGTGGGTTGGGTTCGTAGAGTTGTGACCCACATAACCGCCCAGTTTTGATGGTGTTGGAGCGCTCACTCCATCAAAACTACAGAGGAAAGGGGACATGGCCTCTGCTAATCCAACCTTCCAAAGACAACATTTCGAAGGATCTCCTCTAACTTCGAAAGTATGTACCGAAAATATTACTACTGGAAATACCTTCAAAGTACGACCAGAAGACGAGTCAGGATCGAAATGACGGACGACAGAGGAGCAAGGACGAGGTGCATTGCCAAGCACAGCATAGCCGCGGCCTGCAGGACAAATGGCTAAATAGCACCGGAATATACGCATTGCGTAGGAGCGGTTTCGCGCGAAGGACATTGACGAACGTTCGTATTATTGTTTGTGATGCTGAGTGTGTCAAGCAACATTGACGCATCGTGGCCAGACAGAAATGATGCGTTCAGAGACACAGACGAAGAACAGTTCATGGCTGACGGACAAACGGCCACTTAATGGGCGACACCTGTTCGTGAGTCTGCGAACATTGCTGTTGGATACATGTGCTGGATGATTTTGTGTCACGCAGACTGGTAAGATAACCGTTTGATAGGGGGCACCGCGATGATTCACGGGGCCCCTCCTTGCTGTGGGAGCCGTTCTTTGAGCACTCCCTCTTTCGTCCGTGTGAAGGATGGTCGTCTACCTCCCGTGAAGTTANGAACAGTTCATGGCTGACGGACAAACGGCCACTTAATGGGCGACACCTGTTCGTGAGTCTGCGAACATTGCTGTTGGATACATGTGCTGGATG